ATTTTTAATTTTTTGAGGAACCTCCGTACTGTTTTCCATAGTGGCTGCACCAGTTTACATTCCCACCAACTGTGCACAAGGGTTCTCTTTTCTCCACATCGTTGCCGACACTTACTTCTTTTTTCTTTTTTTTGTAATAGCCATTCTGACACATGTGAGATGACAATCTCATTGTGGTTTTGATTTGCATTTCCCCTGGTGATTAATGACATTCAGCATCTTTTCATTTACCTGTTGGCCATCTGTATGTCCTCTCTGGAAAAATGTCTATTCAGATCCTCTGCCTATTTTTTAATTGGGTTGTTTGTTTTTATGCTGTTGAGCTGTATGAGTTCTTTATATATTTTGGATATTAACCCTTTATCAGATATATGATTGGCAAATATTTTGTCCTGTTCAGTAGGTTGTCTTTTGATTTTGTTGATTGTTTCCTTTGCTGTGGAAATGCTTTTTAGTTTGATGTATTCCCATTTATTTGTTTTTGCTTTTATGGCCTTTGCTTGTGGTGTCAAATCCAAAAAATCGTTGTCAAGACCTGTGCCAAGGAGCTTACCACCTATGTTTTCTTCTAAGAGTTTTATGGTTTCAGGCCTTATGTTCAGATCTTTAATCCATTTTAAGTTAATTTTTGTGTATGGTGTTAGATAGTGGTCCAGTTTCATTCTTTTGTGTGTGGCTGTCCAGTTTTCCTGACACCATTTATTGAAGAGACTGTCCTTTCCCCAGTGTATATTCTTGGCTTCTTTGTCAAAAATTAGCTGTCCGTGTATTGTATGGGTTTATTTCTGGGCTCTCTGTTCTGTTCCTTTGATCTATGTGTCTGTTTTTATGCCAATACCATGCTGTTTTGATTATTATAGCTTTGTAGTATAGTTCAAAATCAGGAAACGTGATGCTTCCAGCTTTGTTCTTCGTTCTCAAGATAGCTTTGGCTATTCAGGGTCTTTTGTGGCTCCATACAAATTTTAGGGTTGTTTTTTTCTATTTCTGTGAAAAATGCCATTGGAATTTTGATAGGGATTGCATTGAATCCGTAGATTGCTTTGGGTAGTATGGACATTTTAACAATATTAATTCTTCCAATCCATGAGCACAGAATATCTTTCCATTTATTTGTGTCATCTTTAATTTCTCTCATCAGTGTCTTAGAGTTTTCAGTATACAGATCTTTCACCTCCCTGATTAAATTTATTCACAGGTATTTTATTCTTTTTGATGAAATTATAAATGGAATTGTCTTCCTAATTTCTCTTTTGACAGTTCAGACAGTTCATTATTAGTGTATAGAAATCCAACTAATTTTTGTATATTGATTTTATATCGTGCATCTGTACTGAATGGTAAATGAAGATGGCTTAATATTTGAAGATCGAGTTACGTAATTCACCACATTATCAGAATAAAGGAGAAAAATGATCTCAATTGATAATCTCAACATAATTGTCACAGTAGAGAGAGAACAAGGATATATTCCTTCATAACAGTACATTTATCACACTCAAAAAATATTCCATTAATATAAAACTATTAGCTAATAGTGCATATTCAAATTTCTCCGATTGTTCTAATAATGTCATAGTTAGTTGTATTTTATTTTTTAATCTGAGTTCCAATCCAAGATCAAACATAGCATTTAATTGTTGTGTTTTATTAGATGTATCACAATCCATTATATGACACACTTTTAAAAAATATGAAAGTGTAAACTTAATTATTGTAAGGTGGCTACCCCTCTAATCTCACTCATGAAAGATAGACTTTTGCTACACCCTTCCAGAAGTTTTCCAGCTGCCCCTTCTCAAGTACAACTCCTTCCTTCTAATCTTATCCTGATTTTTATGACACTGTCTTACCTTTATAGTGTAGCTTTACCTGTTTTTTCAGTATGGTTTTAATAATACCTTAATAGTATAATTTTAATTATTAATATCTAATTGTACTATTACAATTAATTATACAGTAATTGTAATTATTATAATTATTAATCAAATTTTATTATTTAATAATAATATTTTAACGTGATAAGGTTTGGTAATCTGTGTTTCCCCACCTTTGTTTTTCTTTTTGCTTTTACATTTGTGTCCTTTTCAGTGCATCACATTAGGAGGCACATAATGTCTGTCTGATTACTGATGATATTAACTTTAGATCATTTGATGACAGTATTTGTCAAGTTTTTCTACTTTGTAAAGTTACTCTTTTCCCCTTTGTAATAGGTACTTTGAGGCTATGAAAATCTCTCATTTCTCATAAAACTTTGATCCTAGTTTTCTAGCTCCATGATTCCATCTATAGTTAATGTTTGGAATTCTGCTAGAAGGAAGGCTTTCTATTCTCGATTGAGTATTTATTTCAGTGTTTCGTGTGTTTTTATTTTATGAGTTATATATTCTGTTATTATCATTTTGATGCATGAAGTGTCCCAATTTGGGCCAGTGGCAGCCCCTTCAACTGGTGCCTGAGTCCTTTTGACATGTCTCTGACATGTTCCTTTGAGCACTTTCTGGCCCCGGATCTGGAATTAACTATTTCTCTAAGGAGACCTGGTCCTTTTAGTTGATAATGGTATTTAGAAGCAAAGATCTTGGTGCTAAGTTTGTTTTTTCTTTATATTTATCCTGTTTAGGGTTTGTAGAGCTTTTAAATTCACAGCTTGATGTTTTCTTGTGTTTTGGAAAATTATTGGCTATCACCTCTTTAAACATTGCTTCTGCTCCATCTGTCTCTTGTTTTGGGACTCCCGTTACTTATATGTTAGACCTTTTCACTATATCCCATATGTCTCTTCTACACATTTCTATATTTTCCATCCTTTTCCTTTTTCTACTTTAATTTTGTTGATCTATAATCCTTTCTTCTGCTGTGTTTAACCTTGTATTAAACCATCTATTAAAATTCTTTTTTTTTTTTTTTTTTGAGGACGATTATCACTGAGCTAACATCTGCTGCCAACCCTCCTCTTTTTGGTGAGGAAGACTGGCCCTGAGCTAACATCCATCTTCCTCTATTTTATATGTGGGACGCCTGCCACAGCATAGCTTGCCAAGTGGTGCTCTGTCCACACCCGGGATCTGAACCAGGGAACCCCGGGCTGCCGAAGCGGAATGTGCGCACTTAACTGCTGAGCCACCAGGCTGACCCTATTAAAATTCTTAACATCAGTTATTATGTTTCTCAGTTCTACGGTTTTCATTTGACTTTTTTTAATAGATTTTCCTTGTCTGGTAGAATTCTTGCTGTCATCTGTGTTTTAGGACATGTTAATCATAGTTATTTTAAAATCTGTGTCTGGTAACTCCAGTATCTGGGTCACCTGGGTATCTGGTTGTATAATGTTTCTCTATCCCTCCAGCCCTTCTATGGTCATTTTTTAAAAGACTTTATTTTTTCCTATTTCTCCCAAAGCCCCCCGGTACATAGCTGTGTATTTTTAGTTGTGGGTCCTTCTAGTTGTGGCATGTGGGATGCCTCCTCAACATGGCTTGATGAATGGTGCCATGTCCGTGCCCAGGATCCAAACCATCAAAACCTTCGGCCGCTGAATCAGAGTGTGCAAACTTAACTACTCGGCCATGGGGCCAGCTCCCCCTTTTTTGTTTAATATTTTATTTTTTCCTGGTCATTTTTTCTGTAGGAAAGCAATTTGATTATCTGTTTATAAAGGTATAAAAATGTTAATATTCTTAGATTTCCTGAAGTACAGTTACTCGATCTCTCGATATCAGTCAACTTTTTGCTAAATTTTGTTGTAACCACCCCTGAATCTCAGTGGGTTACAACAGCAAAGCCTTACTTCTTGCTCACATTACATTGTGGTTCCTGGATAACTGTAGTTATATTCCATGGTTATTGTGTTCCATGTGTCTTATTTATTTTGGGGATCCAGGCTGAAGAAGGAGGCCTCATAAAGGATGTATTGATCTCAGGGTCAGAGTTATTGAGAGGGATGGACCATGTGATGTTTCCTAAAAGTCTTCTTCGTTGAGGTTCTTGTGTCTCCCTTTCACAATCTGTTGGCCAAAGTGATTCATGTGGCCGAGCCCGCACTTAACAGGGTGAGGAAGTGTATGTGCTACTTCCACAGGGAGGCATTACAAGTTACATGGGAGGGAGGAGTGAATAATTGGGAGCAATAATACAATTTATCTAACTATCCTAAAGAAAAAGCTCCCACATTTGGAAAAAGCTGTGTATGTATGAAGATGTTAATGCAGAATTATTAGTAAGGATAAAAAATTATAAGCATTAGTAATAAAGAGCTTTACAGTATATTCAGTGAAATGTTATAGTGAAATGTTGTACAGTTATTAAAATGATCTTTGTAGTATCTAGCAACATAGGAAAATGCATTTAATATGATATTAAGTGAAAGAACAATGTACAGAGTATATATACTCTGAGTACAGCTGTGTACACACAATCATACATTTGTAAGAAAATCGAAGATATAAAAATGATAATAGTAGGGCCGGCCCTGTGGCCGAGTAGTTAAGTCTGCGAGCTCCACTTTGGCAGCCCAGGGTTTGGATCCTGGGCGTGGACATGGTGCTGCTAATTAGGCCATGCTGAGGCGGCGTCCCACATGCCACAACTAGAAGGACCCACAGGTAGGATATACAGCTGTGTACTGGGGGCATATGGGGAGAAAAAAGCAGGGGGAAAAAATTGGCAACAGTTGTTAGCTCAGGTGCCAATCTTTAAAAAAAAAACATGATAGTAGTTATCTTAGGATGATGGACTTATGAGTGATTTTTCATTATAAACTTAAACTTTTTATAGTGCTTTCATTCTATAATTAAACATAATTTTGTTTTCTGAAAGATTATTTTTCATTCTAAAAGCCATACACGTTATCAAAGAAATGTTCGGAGGAAAAGCCTTAAAAAATCAAACTCGAGCTGTCTCCCCAAACTACCACAGTAACTATTTTAAGTCTGTTAAAAAATTAGTATTTTAAAAAAATTAGCGGATTAACCTTGTATTGTTGTGTTTCATTTCAGGTCCTGAAAATCCATGGTTGGTCCAAGCTTACGTTTCAGCAGCTAAACACCCTTTTGCTTCTGTGGTGGCTCAGGAGGTTTTTCAGAGTGGAATCATTCCTTCAGATACTGACTTCCGTATCTACAGGGATTTTGGGAACATTCCAGGTATTTTGTTAATTGTTATGGGTTATAGTGTGACAGTGATTAATCAAAAGCGAGTTAGACTTTTTGGAATTTGTGAGTAAACAGCCTTTTCTGAGAGCGTGTTCTCTGTGAGAGAGCGGTATGTTCTGACTCACGAGTTCCTAGTGTTTTCCTCTTCTTTTGAACTCCAGTCTAATTTAAATGCTTGCCTTTGTTAAAATACGTCATCTTGCCCCAGTGTGGCAGAACAGGGGAGAACTGTTTAGCACTTCATTTCCAAAAGACAAGGTCTTTGACTTTCGCTGTTATCTTGCTTTGCCAACTCCCTTGGCAGCTTGTACAGCTTATTTGAAGTAAAAATTTGGCTCTGGCCTGGCAAGGATGTAGATGGCAAAGTTTTGATGACTTCTCAAGCTCAGTGTTTCTGCTCCTTGCCGTGTGACTCTTAATGCCTCCCTGTGCAGCAGTGCACTTCCTCAGTCCTTGTGAATTGAATTATGTACCATAGCTATAGATTTTGTAAAACATTAGAAGAGCGTTTACATCATTTGTTCATAAATGTAACAAAGCAATCATGTCCTGGCTTTGGCATTCTGTCTTTTAGGAAGTTGATACATTAAACAAATAGGCCTAAAGCAAGGTTGATCTTTAAAACAAAATGACTTTTTTTCCCCCCTGTATGTCTTAGGAATAGACTTAGCTTTTATTGAGAATGGATACATTTATCACACCAAGTACGACACAGCGGACAGAATTCTAACAGATTCCATTCAGAGAGCAGGTTGGTATTCTCATTTTGACTTTTGATATATGGCAAGATGGAAGGTTAGGGATTACCTATAGATCTGTAAATAGTCCGTGGCCTGTGCATTAGGGAGGCTAATGTATGGTGTGAATGAGCTGGGGCTTTGGAGCTAGAGAGAAGAGGGTTTGAATTTTAGCTTTGAAATCTAGTTTAACAATTAGGAACATAAGACTATTTATTGTGAGGAATTGGAAAGGGAGAAGAAGCCGAGTCAGGGCTGTTCCCACAGCAATTTAAGTCTGGAATAATGAGGACCCTAGACTGTGGTGTTGACAAAAAGTAGAAATGAAAGGGGAGGCATGGAAAATTAGATACACTTTGAAGGTAAATTCCACAAGACTTGACAGGTTAGATAAAGGGATGAATCAGATGGATGGCAGCAAAGATGATTGCAAAGTATAAATCCTGGCTGGCTGGGGAAAGATTATGCCATTGACCATAATGCGGATGTGAAAAGGCAACCCTCATCCAGAGCAGTGATAGAGAGGGAAGGAGACCATGAACTCTGTCAGACATATTAGATGGAGGGGGTCTGTGAACCAGATGAAAAGATAGATACAGTGTTAGAGTTCTTGGCAGAACTGTGTATATGGGTTTAGGAATTAAAGGCATAGAGAAAACCACAAAAGTATGGAGAATGGAAATGTTTTTTGAAAGAATGAACCAAAGGTGGAGGACTAAACCTGAGCTTTGGGGAAAACACATTTTAAGGCAGATAGAGAAGCCAATGAAAGAAAGCCCTCTGGAAGACAGTGTGGTGTCTTAAGTGAAAAGAAGAGAGAAGGATGGGATGAGCAGCAGGAAGAAATGCCAATTATTCAAGGCTTCTTAGTGCTCCTTTGTTGAAGCTCAAACTCATTCATTCATTCATTGATATAACAAATAGTCATTATAGACCTCTGATGTGCCAGGTTCTGCCTGATAAGCACTTCCCCGCTTTCCAGCTTCATTGCTGAATACTCTCTCCTCATTCCGGACTTTCTTGCCTGTATTTGGAACTTTCCCTCCTCAAGATCTTCATCTACACAGTTCTCTCAGTCTGGACGGTCTCCCCCATTGCAGCTAGCTTCCTGTTCATCCTTTAGCTATAAATACTGCTTCCTCAGGAATGCTTCCCTGACTTCTCAAACTCTATCAGTCTCCCCTGATATGTTCCAAGGGGACTCTAATACCTCTCCTTATTAATTCTTTTTTTTAATTGAGCTGTAATTGACATTCCTTATTAATTCTTAACACACCTGTAATGACTTGTTCGGTGTCTGTGAGCTTCATGAGAGGCCTTTGTCTCTTGGGTCAGCACTGAGTTTCTGGTGAGTAGAGCAGTGTCTGCTACATTAAATGTATATTAAATGAATAGGGACTAGGAAACAGCCTTTGGGTTTGTCAACAGTGAGGGCACCATTGATCGGAGAATAGTTCTAATAGAAGGGAAAGGATGAAGGCTGTTTGGCTGGGTTTCTAAGTGGAGAGGAAACAGAATACGGGGTGTGGACCTTAATTTGAGAAATTTAGTAAGAAAAGTAGGAGAGCAGTAGGATGGTAGAAACTATTTCTGTTCACATTCTTTCTAGGTATTACTTTACTAAACACTGGATGGTTTATTCAACTTTGTTATCTTTTTATTAATAGGTGACAACATTTTAGCAGTTCTTAAATATCTAGCTACATCTGATATGTTGGCCACTTCTTCTAAATATCGACATGGAAACATGGTCTTCTTTGATGTGTTTGGCTTATTTGTCATTGCCTACCCCTCTCGTGTTGGCTCAATAATTAACTACATGGTGGTAATGGCTGTTGTTTTGTACCTGGGCAAAAAATTTTTGCAGCCCAAACATAAGAGTAAGTATTTTCCTTTAAAACTGCAATACTGGCATGGGTATAGAATTTGCCTGAAGTTTTTAAATCAGTTTGCTTATATCTTTCCAAGAAGTTAAAAATCTTAAGAAAAATAACATTTGATTTATATTGTAAGAAATTTCTAAATGAATATGAGATTCATATGCTCATTATACTTTTAGTCTTGGTAAAGCAGGCAATTTTGATGAACTTATGCACTCCATGGAAGTACTACATAGATGGGGGCCGGCCCGGTGGCGCAGTGGTTAAGTGCACATGTTCCACTTTGGCATCCCGGGGTTCGCCAGTTCGGATCCCGGGTGCGGACATGGCACCGCTTGGCAAAAGCCATGCTGTGGTAGGTGTCCCACATATAAAGTAGAGGAAGATGGGCATGGATGTTAGCTCAGGGCCAGTCTTCCTCAGCAAAAAGAGGAGGATTGGCAGCAGTTAGTTCAGGGCTAATCTTCCTCAAAAAAAAAAAAAAAAAGTACCACATAGAAACTGGTTTGTACAGATTGGCTTTTAGTGAAAAGTCCCATTAAAGTCTTACTCACATTACAGACCAGTAGTAGCACACTGTTCTGAAGTATGAAAGAACTGCTTCTGGTTAAATTGGTCTCCTTCTACTTGAAATGTTTTGTAGTGTAAGTTGGTATGTGCTGTTAAAAGATAAAATATTTAGCAGCAATTTAAATAATCCTTTATCACCAGTTATTTTCCCATGCTCCTTCTCTTCCTATGTTAGCTCCTTTTGGCAAGACTTTATATGGAATTTTGCCTCCCATTCTTGCTGATAGTTTGATATACACGGCATCCCAAAGGTGATGAAGATTAAGACGGCCCATTTCCCTAGTCAGGAATATATCTGAACTATTCCTGGAAGACTTCTCTCTTTTGAGTCTTCAGTGCCCACAGACTCTTAGTAAATGTTACTTGAATATTATTCATCGATACCTTTCCTGTTCCAGTGTTTAACAAACCCTACCCCTAGGACATTTCAGTACTTTTCAATGACAATGGTGAATTTTTTAACATTTTCCCATTAAACCCTACTGACTGGTTATGAAATTGATTTGATAAAGATGGTGCTCTCCACTTTGTGTTTTCTCATTAGCTGCTAACTACACGAAGGACTTCTTCTGTGGACTTGGCATCACTCTGATAAGCTGGTTCACTAGCCTGGTTACTGTCCTCATTATAGCAGTGTTCATCTCTCTTATCGGACAGTCTCTCTCATGGTATAACCACTTCTATGTCTCCGTTTGTCTGTATGGAACTGCAGCTGTAGCCAAAATAATATTCATACATACCCTCGCAAAAAGATTTTATTTTGTGGTAAGTGATAGGCATATTTATTGATTTCTTTTTGCTACCTTCAAGGATTGAAGACAAACTCAAGTGGGATTCATTGTATTTGGCCTTTTGAGCTATAAACCGTTGTTTTTCATGGTTATAGGAAACTGGCTCCCAGAAGCGTGTTAATTTTCTGGAAAGTTTCTTATTCTGAGGGTTTCGTTGCAGACTTTAAATGTGGCTGTAAAGCTATAAACAGTGTTTGGGGTGGTGGTGACAGCCTTCTGCCTCTGCTGAATCTGCTGCAGTTTTTGTAACTATGCTTTTGAATCTACCGGCCCTCCCAGGGCTCACCTAACTATTCATGTTTGAATCGCTCTGTTCTCTACTGGACGGTCAGCTCCCTGAGGGCAGGGGTGGTTTTGTTCATTATCCCCTGTACTGGGGTGTGTTTGACAAATAGCACTAACACACAGTATGTAGTTGCTGCCCTAAGCTTGTTGCACTTAAAGAATGTTGCACTTAGAGCTGCACTTAAAGTTTTCTCTGTAATTTCCTTCACTTTTTTTTTTTAAACCTGTACGTTGTTGATGCAGATTATGACAGCACGCATATTTGTATGGGGGTTAGAGACACATTGCTAAGGAGAAAAGAGGGAAGGGAGGTAGAGTTCCAAAATGATTTATGCTGATTTAGAGAATATTGCCATATTGTTATGGTTTCAACTGTATAGATTTGTTTGGTAAAAATAAAATTAGGAATTAGGGTTATGAAATAATAGGACTAAAAATAAATTACAGTGAGAGAGCAAGCCATGGTTTCTGATTTTCTGAGTTAAAGGGAAAATCTTTCTTACCTCCATTATTTTCAAGACAGCCAATGTACGCCTGTTTTTTCAGTTTGTCCTGCTAGGGATTAGAATGGAGGCATGGAAGATTATACTACAGCATCCTTCCAAAAGGATGTCTTTGGTACCTGAAGCTTGGTCTCAGTTTCAGGTAATGCTGGGATGTGGTCTGAGGAGCCCTTCCATGTTAGCAGGCTCTATTGAAGACAGGTTCTTTGAGGTTAGCCATCTGTTTATTGTTGAGCTAATACTTGTATCTTAGTGGCTTCAGATTCCAAAAGAATTACACCGTGAGGTTCAGTTTCACATGCTTATTCTTAGTGCAACGGTGTGTAACCAGAGTGTGGCTGACTATTGTTGATGTGGCGGGGTGGGGGAGGGAGAGACAGAAATGCTTAGTAAAATTCCATTTACTGTGACTAATTTCAGTTGTTCGATCATAAGACTTTGGGCTGAAAGCACAGTGGAAAGCGTAATGTGTTTCCTTTTCATTTCACAAATATTCTTTGAGCATCCAGTGGGCTTTGTACCATGCTAAGGCCTGGTGATACACAGATTCATAAAGATGTGCTCTCTTTCTTTGAGGAGCTCACAGTTTCATTTGGGAAGATAGGGAAACCACAGTGATTACAGTACCTTGGGATGAAGTGAAATAGAGTGACATATTTACAGTGCCATAGGAATATAGGGCCAGAAGAGATGAATTTTGTTTGTGGAAGTCAGGAAGCCTTCATGAAAGAGGTGGTGACATTTGAACTGGACTTTTGAAGCATGAGTAGAAGTGTGCCAGACAGAACAGCCTGATGGGCAGTCAAAGGTGGGAATGTACAAGATGCATGTGGGTCACAGTCAATAAAAAGACACCTTGAAGACAAGGTGGTGGCACAATCACTGGAAAAGTAGGCCAGGGCGAAGTTGGAGCATGACCCTAAAAATCAGTGGGGCTACCATTAAAATTTTCTAAGCAGGATAGTGAGCGAGAGAATTTGTGATTTAGTATGAAAACTCTGGTCACGGTGTATAGAATTGGAACGGGCAGAGGTGGGAGGGATCAATAGAGATGGGGAGAAGAGAACTAGATTTGAGGTATATTTCTTTGATCTTTGGGTGCAATTTGGGAACTTAATATAAAACATATTTTCAGTTATTACAGTCTTCATTGTTGAGATCTTTGTTTTTAAATTTCTCAGTGACGTTCGGCTTCAAATTTAATCCTAAGAATTATTTTCTTCTTTTTAAAGACGATGTCTCTTGATTAACACTGTGTTGAACATCTAAGTATTTAACGACCATAGCCTGTTTTTCTTTGTCCAAGGGGGTTTGTCAAATGAACTTTAACTTACTTTGAAAACATGTGACTGAAACTCTTTTGAGCTCTCAAAGTAGGGTCCCATATCACAGACATGCCCTGGGCTATACAGAAATGAGAAGGCAGAGGAGAGAAAAACTTAAGTGTATCTATTTCCATTTTGGTATTTCTGCACTTTATAACTTTCATGTTTACATTAGTGGAATCACTGGTGCAGATGTTAAAATGTATTAAGTTCATATGACAGCTTTCTTCTGACGAACTCAAGGTGCTGCACAAGAATCCTCAGACTTCAAAGTTCAAAAAATATAGATAAAATTTGATAATGTGAAAGCACCAGGAATCCAGGACGTGGGCAGAAGTGCACTACAAGACCAGAGGAGATAGAAAAGACTCAGGAATCAAGCAAAAAAAATCAAGCAAAAATATGGCCCTGTGCTGTAAAGTCCTGCAGTTTTCCAGGTGTGTGGTCGGTGGCACTGCAGCAGCCCATACTGTTCTTCACAGGTCATTTCTCTAGTTTGCTTGAAATTCTTTGGAAGTTGCATAAATAGAAAAGCTTACAGAGGTGAACGTGTTTTAGAAGTCTTTTCTTCTATTTTAGAACATTTCCAAAGGTTACTTGTAGCCCAGTGGAGGAAAAGCTCAGATTCTATGCAAGTAGTGATGTTTTTACTGTCTGGTTAAATTCCCTTTCCTGTGCAGCAGTGTGAATTTAGTGCTTCGTAATAGGAGCTAGCTTTGTTTCCTTTAGAGTTTAAAGGACAGATTCTGCTAAAACAAAATGCAGCTCTTCTGAGCACGGAAATTACATGACAGTAGAAGATCTTTATGAGTAGGCCCCGAATGAGACCACTTGTGTCTTTTTCTTTCTTTCAGAATGCCAGTGGCCAGTACCTGGGAGAAGTATTTTTTGACGTCTCGCTGTTTGTGCACTGTGGTTTCCTCATAGCTCTCACTTATCGAGGACTTTGCTCGGCCTTTATCAGCGCTGTCTGGGTGGCGTTCCCGTTGCTCACAAAGCTTTGCGTGCACAAGGGCTTTAAGCAGCACGGTAGGGTATTTTTGGTTTTGATATAAATGGGAAAATATCTTAAAATACATAAGATAAGGCTTCCAGGGACTATTTCTTTTTTTGATCTTTTTGGATGGGCTTTCTAAATTGTTAGTTTTGTTTTTTTAATTTTCAGATCACACGGATTTTTATCTTATGCCTTATACCCTATCCCATTCTCACATTTATGAATACATGCTAATATATTACTTATGTATTTTGTTAATTCTTATTTGTATTTTATCCTCTGTGAGTGAAAGTATTTTATCTCACCAGATAACAAGTCCCAAAAGGGCAGGAGACACATCTAACCTAATTTCCTCTAGGTGCCGAGGTACCTCAGCACTATAAAAATCTGTATCTCATTGTAGAATTTCAGAGATGTGTGTTTCCTTTCTCTTTTTCCCTAGGTGCTCAAGGAAAATTTATTGCCTTTTACCTTTTGGGGATGTTTATTCCTTATCTTTATGCATTGTACCTCATCTGGGCGGTATTTGAGATGTTTACCCCTATCCTTGGGAGGAGTGGTTCGGAAATTCCACCTGACGTTGTGCTGGCTTCCATTTTGGCTGGTTGTACGATGATTCTCTCTTCCTATTTCGTAAGGAAAAAAATTTTTTTTTAAATTTTCTTCTTTCTTCATTTTTTATATAAATATGTGATGAGTTTAGCCATACTAGATTCTATGACATAGTGTTGCTTATACTTTATTGAGAAAATCTTAAGCAAAAGACATAGTGAATGGCTGTGCATATTGTGGGATCGATATGGTAAGAAAATGTAGAGTGGGGTTTTTGTTATTTTTATCTCCTTATGCTCCCACATACCCTGATTATACTGCTTTTCAGACTACCTGAATGTGAATTCATAGAATGCGTACCAAGCGAGAATTGGTAGAGCTTGCTTGGTGGTAGATTTTTAGAAAGATTGCTAATCATGTGTTTTGAACTTTAATTAGAGGCAAATGTTAATAATGGTAGTTTATTAGTGCTGTTAGAGCTAACGAAGGAAGACTAATTCTGATGAGGCTTCTTCCCTTATCATTCAGCTTCCTCGCTGCTGGTGCAGCAAAGTTCATTAATTGAGTCTGTCTCCTTGAGTGATATACACTTATGATACCCAAATATGCGTTCATCTACCAAGTAATGAAAGAGTATCACGGCCTTGTCATTTTGCTGTATCAGTGTTCTGCCCTTGTATGGAGAGCCCTACGTTTGCCATCACTGCTTCTCTTCCCTGGGACTCTCCAGAGGGAGAACGAGACATGATGAAGAGTTGACAACCAGACACCCCTTTGTTAGAGCAAGCTCCAGGCAGAGTTCTGCTCTCTCCAGGACTCAGGCCTGGCTCCTGTAGAGGAGGCAAATCCTTGTTTTGTGGTTCTTTTCATTGGAATTCCTAAGAATAGGAAGTGCTTACTGAATACCCCTAGGTACACTCTGAGATTTGAGGCTAGGGGACTAAATAGAAAGGTAGTTATGACTTTATTATAGTTCTTTCCTCAGTGTGGATGATAGTGAGTTTTTCATGTTGATATAGAAAGGGCCTTTCATGGGAGGTGAGGATCTAGAGACAGCAGGTAAGAATCCCACATGCATGGATGGTCAGCACTATCCATGGAAGTCCCTTAAACAGCCACTAAGTAGCTGTATATGTGACTGCAAGTATAGCCCTGTAGAGCAGTTCTTACGCACGCTGTGGTTTGAGGTCAGCTGTACTAGTCCTCAAAGAAATCTGAGCATTCTAGCCATTTTACCTTTAATATAATGATTACGTCCTTACAGGTATTTGCAAGGATTGATGGAATTCTGAAATGTTCTTTGTTGCTTTCAAGGTTTACTTCTTCTGGTTTTAATATTAAGCCTTTAAATCCTCTGTGCTTGTTAATAGATTGCTGTTGTGAGGATTAAAGATGTTGGAGATTTGTCATATGTAGATTAGGTTCTGATCTAGAGTTGGTTAAATTTTGAACTGGACCCCCCAGTGTATTTAAATTATGGTCAATGAATGAAAGCTATTGATGCTCATAAAAGATTATCAAAATGTGGGACATTTCAATTCTGTTCCATATGGAAGGGGATAAAATGAACCCTGAAAACTTCAGTTTGGAAATTGAAAATGACCCCAAAGCATGGAAATCTTGGAAAGCATAAGAAAGAGGGTTAAAGTATATTATCTTCTAAGTTATATTTTATTAGGAAAGCTTTGGAGAGTGCCTCTTGGAATACTTTGAGACTTCATTTAGTTTTTATTATAATGTGAAATAGCTTCCCTGCTCTTTGATGCTGTGAGTTATCACTGTCTTCATTATTTTCTTATTTGTGTGTAGCAGTGATGATGGCTTGTTAACAGAGTGAGCCCATTCTCCTTGGGTAATGGAGAACTGAACCACGTGCATATTTCAGAGAGTGTTTCTTTCATTCCTTGGGGATTTATTAAGTATATTTGCTAGAAAGCAATTAAATTCCTGTCAAGTGCTCAGTTACCAGGTTTCCTGTGGTTATCCTGTGCTGGGGCTGTTCTGTGAGACTGCGGACAGGAGTGGGATCAGGAGGAGCCTCTCAGAGAGAAACAGAGAAACAGCCGGCACACGTTAGGCACTTCACAGTCCCTTCTCCTGCTTCTCTTCATTTTATTTTGTACCGCTTTAGAACCTAGAGGGTTGTAAGATGTAACATTTACGACAGTGGAATCCAAACGCATTGTCGCTTAGGCCATCCTCTTCTTCCGTCTCCTCTGCTCTGTGATTGCCATTTCACGTGTCACCATTACCAGACGTCTTCCAGAAGGTGGGTGGAAGAGGCGGAAGATGAGCTTCATGATTTGGAGAAGAGGGGATGTGGATGTGGCAACTGTAGCTTAGACCGAGGTATTAGGAAACTTTGGGTAGTAGCTGGCTTGAGAATGGCAGGAACCACAGCGTTATGACAGGGAGGTTTGATTTTGACGTGAAAGACTCTACCTAAACTTACCAGCCTTCCAGTGGAGGGGAAGTTCGTTACTTGGCACGATACTTGCTACTGTTTTAAGGAGCCACATTTTAAATATTGTGACTGCGAGGGGAAAAAGGGACAGACAGGGTAACAAATTTTGTTTTGATAACTCACTGCCTTAAGTCTTTGGGTGCTTTCTCTTATTTCTGTGCTCACAGTGTCAAAACATCCGATCTTTGACCTAAGATAAGTACTGTTTTGCTGGAGATTACCCTGGAGGGGAACCCCTAAGGGATCTGTGAGTCATGTGTGTCCTCAACAACTTTTAATTCAGTGATTTCATTGCAAGTAAAAAGCTAATATAAGCATAGCTAGGATTTTCTGGATGCCCTCCTTGAGACTGAGCCACTTGCTTTTCCTGCTCGAGTTCAGTGTTGTTGTCTTGATTGTTGGCTCACTCAGCACTGAAAGGGGCAGTCTGACTTCGTATTGCAGTTGTTCCTCATATGCAGGTCCACAGGCAGTCTTGAAGGTACGTCTTAATGCTCCTTTAGATGAAGCAGCACCTTGACATACCATACAAGCATTATGAGCAGAACTCTTGAGTTTTGTTGAAATAGGCCTGCTTATGCTTAAAAGCTTACTTCTGGTTCTTTAATGAAAGCCTAATGTCATGATGTTTGGTACAGTTAAATAGTGTCTAATGTGCAGTGTTAACTACAAGGCGTTGATAGGATCAGAAATAAAATAAGGTCATGGTTTGACTGGTGATGGATCTACATTCTCTAGTCTCTGCCCACTGAGCAGAGACACTTCTCAGTTTCCTTTTTGTTGTCTGGCTGCCTGTCCAAGAGGCCCTGTCATGGAGTTGGGGGCATCTTTCATTTATCTAGGCTCTGACTCATGATAGAAATCCCTTATAATTAGTGCTGTATTTACTGGGTGTTGGAGTATGTTAGCACATGCTGATAAATATTCTTCACTGTCTGTCAGATATTATTGTTACAAAATAAAGTCAGTTAAAGCCACCTTTTTGCCAATGGTAATTTTTCTATTTTTGTGTTTTGTGTTTTAGATTAACTTCATCTACCTTGCCAAAAGCACAAAAAAAACCATGCTAACTTTAACTTTGGTGTGTTCAGTTACATTCCTCCTTGTTTGCAGTGGAACATTTTTCCCATATAGCTCCAATCCTGCCAGTCCGAAGCCAAAGAGAGTGTTTCTTCAGGTAAGGGCAATTTTGTGTGAGCTGTTTGAGATTCTGGAGAGGAAAGCCTTGTCTATTTTGAGCTTCACTAGTTAAAAGGAAAATTAACTGACTTTTCTACTGTTGACCTATTGTTTGTACTCAACCATTTTGTGTAAAGCGGTGAGGAAAAGACTGACCATCCAGAGGTGTTCTTATTAGCTAGACACACTTCTCCCAAGAGACTGAATCGGAAATGTCCTCTTGTTGTTTTTATTACTGTTCAAATTATAAAAATGCACCTGAAAAACAGAAGCAAATATGTATCATGCAATAATGAGCTTTTAGAAGTGTAGATTGTAAAAATGTCTGCAGGCTGAGTAAAAATCTGAACTCCTATCAATTGGCAAAATAAAATAGATATTTTTAAATGCTAGTAAAATTGACCTTAGGTATAATGTTCAAAGAATGTGTGATAATGAAAATATAACTTAGAAAGGGATCAATAAAATGAGATTTAGACTTACTTAGGTTTCAGATTTTTCTGCAAACTTTTTAGAGCTGGTACTGTAAAGCAGTAAAAAAGGACTAAGTTGCCTTATTTCTAGTCATCCTCTTTGTGGAGGTTTGTGCAGTGGCCAAACAGAAAAACCAAGAGTCCTAATATAGATAATTATTCAAGGACTTGAATAAGTAATAATAGTATTTGAACTTAAATATCAAAAGTTTTGAAAAAGGGCCCAACTGTTCCTTGTTTGTAGTCCTGGAGGACACAGTGATATATTTTATGTGACAAATTTTAAGTTTGGAAAAGCTTTAGTGAAAAACAGTTTTTAGGATATTCAGTGTGTTTTTAGTGACTTGCTAATTTTTATAATTATGTCAGTAGTATTGAGGAAAAGCTAGATTTTTATTTTTAAAAACTCCTGATTTGTTTGGGGGGGTTCTCTTCTTCTCCAGTGCCAGAAGTTGGCCAACTTTTCCTGTAAAGGGCCAGATAATAAATACTTTAGGCTTTGTCAGCCCTGTAGTCTCTGTCGCAGCTACTCTGTTTTCATAGAGTGAAAGCAGCCATGGACAGTACCTAAACAAATGAGCGTGGCCATGTTCCAGTGAAGCTTTATTTATAAAAATCGTAGTGGGCCATTTGGCCTGTGGGCTGTAGTTTACTGACCCCAGCCCTATGCAATCCTTTTTCTTTTCCTTTTTGATATTCTTCAGGCTGGTTTCTGCTGTTAATAAAGCGATTCCAGGTGGAGCATGGTGCCTTTTCATAGAATTCTGTTAGGCACAAGTCTGTCTTCTAGTGGTGATCTGTGAGTCCTGTTTTTCTCTGCACATGAATTAGCTTCATGTAATACATGGACAGGGCAACGTGTATGTGTGTGTTTGTGTATGTATATTTATCTTAGGATGTATTTGTTTTCAGTCCTTATCTAAAAGGAGTTCTAGTAAATCCTAAATAGTAGGTTTTCAGAAATTTTATATGAAATTTAAATATATAAATATACTTGTAAGAAATAATAAAATGATCATCTGTATGTTCATTATCGAGTTTACAAGAAAATACTAACAGTATCTTAGAAAGTCTGAGTGTTCCCTTTTTGATCCCAACTTCCCCCTCCCGTTCTCTCCCCAATCCCCAAAGAAGTACTCACTATCTTGAAGTTTGGAGTTAATTATTACCTTACTTTTTTTTTATTTTACCACATAAAATGAATCCCTAAACAGCAACATATAATTTCGTCTGTTTTTGAACTTCTTACAGATAAAGCCATACCCTAAATATTCTTTGTGACTTGCTTCTTTTTGCCCAACAGCATGTGAGAATCTTCCATGTCAATTTTTGTCACTGTAGTTCGTGATTTTTCATTGCTGAATAGACATCTGTCATAGGATGAAGCCCCAATTTATTTGCCCATTCTACTGTTAATGGACATTTGGGTTGTTTCCAGTTTTTGCTAATATGGACAATGCTGAATGAACACTCTTGTACCTTGCAGGAGTTTCTCTAAGGTCCATATTCAGGAGTGGGCTTGCTGGTTTGAAGGGTATGTGCATGTTAACTCTATTAGGTAACACTAAACAGTTTCCTGAAGTGATTGTGCCACCACACTCCCACCAGCAGTGTGTGAGGGTTCTTGTCACTCCATAGGCACATCACTTCTTGGTATTGTCACACTTACTCATTTTTGTTAATCTGTGGTGAGGATGTAGGTGACGGAGTTGAAACAGTAGTTTTCTCATTAGTCTTGTTCTTCTCAGCATGTGACTAGAACATTTCATGACCTGGATGGAAACATAGTTAAACGGGACTCCGGAATATGGATCAATGGGTTTGATTATACTGGAATGTCTCACATAACGTCTCACATTCCCGAGATCAACGACACCATCCGAGCTCACTGTGAGGAGAGCGCGCCCCTCTGTGGTTTCCCCTGGTATCTTCCAGTGCACTTTCTCATCAGGTTGGTTCATTACTTTTCTGCTTTAATTAGGGTTTAGTTTGTTCTCAAGTCCTATCACTGTATTAGTACTTCATTATTTAGACTGGTTAAACAGAAGTGAGGTATCATGTATACTGTTTTTTCTATCACTACAGAAGTTTTACGTTTTTTTTCCTTTTTTTTAAAGATTGGCTCCTGAGCTAACAACTGTTGCCAATCATCTTCTTTCTTTTTTTTCCTGCTTTTTCTCCCCAAGTCCCCCCAGTCCATAGTTTTATATTTTAGTTGTGCGTCCTTCTAGTTGTGGCATGTGGGATGCCACCTCAGCATGGCCTGATGAGCCGTGCCATGTCCGCACCCAGGATCCGAACCAGTGAAACCCTGGGCCGCCAAAGCAGAGTGTGCAAACTTAACTCCTGGGCCATGGGACTGGCCCCAAAGTTTTATTTCTTTAGTGGCATAAAGCACTCACAAGTGTAAGTTTGCTTTTTCAAATTTAGGAACTCTCACCATCTTCTCCCCATTCTGTATGGGAGGAGGTAGCCATTATTTGTCCCAACCCGAGGCCCCCTCTCTGGTTTCTTATTTGCAGTTACTTCATTTAAAAAAAATATCCTTTTCTGGAAAAAAAAATTAGAAAGTCTTTCCTCTAGAAACCTGAGTAGTTAGAAAGGGTGGCCCTCTTAACTCATCTAAAAGATGGTAGTTAGTGTCCATTACAAACTGCTTGTCTTATTTTTGGCAAGTTTTTATGGTTTGGCAGTGAAGGACTAGACCAGAAGAAATAGGACGGGTAGTGAAATCAAGATCACCTAGGATCCTCTGTTCTTAACTTTGGTAAAGTTTTATTACACAACAACCTGGGCTTCAGAGGAATTGGCATGTTCTTTAACACATCCATCAGAGTTTATTTTCATAACCCAAAATGTGTTTCATATTTTTTGAGCATTTCCATGAGATAGAGAGCATCATAAATATTGAAGCTACCTTCCCAAATAGGAAAAACTGGTATCTTCCTGCCGCAGACGTTTCTCCAAGAGATCCTGCTCACTTCAGACTTGTGTCCAAAGAACGGACACCCTGGGATTCTGTAAAGCTGACCTTTGAAGCCACAGGTGAGTCTTAGGACAGTTTTTTCTTCTCTCCTTCATTTCTTAAAATTTTTAATAAGTAGCATGTATGTTTTTCCCTCAAATTTATAATAGTAACCAGCAACTTAGGAAGAACTTAGTATTTCTAAAAGCAATTGAAGCTGGTTGTAATTGTTTACAGAAAATTTAATAGACTTTATTTTTTTAGAACAGTTTTACGTTTACAGAAAAACTGAACAGAAAGTAGAGTTCCCATATCCCCCTCCCCTCTCTCGGCTTCCACTCTTAGTAACATCTTGCATTAGTGTGGTATGTTCATAACTGATGAGCCAATACTGATACAGTATTATTAACTGAGTTTAATAATAAACTCAGTTAATGTAAACTGTAAGTTTAATGTAAACTAAGTTTACATTAAGGTTCAGCTCACTCTTTGGTTTGTATAGTTCTGTGGGTTTTGACAAATGCAAAATGTCACGTATCCACCATTACAGTATCATACAGAATAGACACACTGCCCTAAAAGTCCCCTGTGGCCCACTTATTCATCTCTCTCTCCTCCCCACTCCCCTTGGCAACCACTGATCTTTTTACTGTCTCTATTGTTTTGCCTTTTCCAGAATATCCTATAGCCGGAATCATACAGTTTGTAGCCTTTTCAGATTGGCGTCCTTCATTTAACAATATGCATTTAAGGTGCCCTCATGTCTTTTAGTGGTTTGATAGCTCACTTTTTATTGCTGAATAACATTATACGAATGTACCACAGTTTATCTCTTCACTTACTAAACAACATCTTGGTTGTTTCTACTTTTTGGCAATTATGAATAAAGCTGCTATAGACATTTGTGTGCAGGTTTTTGAATAGACATAAGTTTTTAACTCATTTGGATAAATACCTAGGAGCACAATTACTGGATTGTATGGTCAGCCTATATTTACCTTTGTAAGAAACTGCCAAACTGTCTTCCAAAGTGACTGTACCATTTTGCATTCCCACCAGCAATGAATGAGGGTTCCTGTTGCTCCACATTCTCACCAGCATCTGCTGCTGTTTTAGTGTTTTGGATTTTAGCTGTTCTGATAGTGATATCTCGTTGTTTTAATTTGCAATTCCCTAGTGACATGATGTTGAACATCTTTTCATATGTTTATATGCCATCTGTATATCTTGTTTGGTGATGTGTCCAGATCTTTTGTTTTTTATTAATTGGGTTTTCTTATCGTTGAGATTTGAGTTCTTTTTTATGTATGGATATAAGTCCTTTATCAGATAAGTGTTCTTGCACATATGTTCTCCTAGTTTAGCTTGTCTTTTCATTCTCTTAACAGTATTTTTCACAGAGCGTAAGTTTTTAAATTTAATGAAGTCCAATTTAATAAGTTTTTTCTTTCATGGATCTTGCTTTTGGTATCATATCTACAAATTGTTACCCAAGGTCTCTAGATTTTCTCTGGCGTTATCTTGTAGAAGTTTTTTAGTTTTGCAGTTTACGTGTAGGTCTGATATATTTTGAGTTAATTTTTGTGAAAGGTATAAGGTTTGTGTGTAGATTGTTTATTTTGCATGTAGATTTCCAGTTGTTCCAGTACCATTTGTTGAGGATGATCCTGTCTCCATTGAATTGCCTTTGTTTGTTTGTCAAAGATCAGTTGACCATATTTGTGTGGCTCTATTTCTGGGTTCTCTGTTCTGTTCTAATTATCTATTTCTCTATTCTTTTGCCATTACTGCACTATCATGATCATTGTAGCTGTATAGTAAGTCTTGAAGTTGGGTGGCATCAGTGCCCCAAGTTTATTCTTCTTCAGTATATTGCTAGTCTTTCATATATCAGTTCATCGAAATCCATAAAAATAACTTTCTGGGGTTTTAATTGGAATTGCATTGAATCTATAGATCAAGTTGGGGAAAATGACATCTTAACAATATTGACTCTTCCTATCCATGACATGGAATGTCTCTCCATTTATTTGTATCTCGTTTGATTTCTTTAATCAGAGTTTTGCAGTTTTCCTCATATGGATCTTGTACATATTTTGTTAGATTTATAACTATTTCATTTTAGGGTAACTAATGTAAATAGTACTGTTCACTGATGGTATATAGGAAAGCAATTGATTTTTGTATATTAATCCTGTATCCTGCAACCTTGCTGTAACTGTTTATTAGTTCCAGGAATTTTTTATTAGTTCTTTCTGATTTTCTACATAGAGGATCATGTCACCTGCAAACAAAGAGACTTTTATTTCTTATTTCCTAATCTTTACACCTTTTATTTCCTTTCCTGTCTTATTGCATTAGCTGGGACGTCCAGTATGATTTTGAAAAGGAGTGGTTGAAGGGATGTCCTTGCCTTGTTACTGATCTTCACGGGAAAGCTTCTCATTTCTTCCTAACTATGGTGTTAGTTTTATCAGGTTGAGGAAGTTCCCCTGTATTTTAAGTTTGCTGAGTGTTTTTATTGTGAATGGATGTTAGATTTTGTCAAATTCTTTTCTTTCTATTGATATGATCTTGTGATTTTTCTTCTTTGGCCTGACGATGTGATGAATTACATTAGTTGATTTTCAAATGTTGAACCAATCTGGCATATCTGGAATAAATCTCACTTGGTTGTAGTGTATATTTCTTTTCATACATTATTGGATTTGGTCTGCTAATATGTCAAGGATTTTTGCATCTATGTTCATGAGAAGTATTACTTTGTAAGTATTCTTATAATGTCTTTGTGTGGTTTTGGTATTAGGGTAATGCTGGCTTCATAGAATTAATTAGGAAGTATTCTCTCTGCTTCTGTCTTCTGAAGAGATTGAAGAGAATTGGTATAATTTCTTTCTTAAATGTTTGGTAGAATCCATCAGTGAACCCATGTGGGCCTGGTTCTTTCTGTTTTGGAAAGTCATTAATTATTGATTCAATTTCTTTAGTAAATATAGGACTACTCAGATTTTCTGTTTCTTTTTGTGTGGGTTTTGGCAGATTGTGTCTTTGAAGGAATCGGTCCATTTCATGACTTACCAAGTTTGTAGGCACAGAGTTGTTCATAACATTCTTTTATTATCCTTTTACTGTCCATGGGATCTGTAGTGACGTCCTCTCTTTCATTTCTGAAATTAGTAATTTATATCTTAGCTCATTTTTTTCTTAACCTGGCTAGAGGCTTATCAATTTTATTAATCTTTTCAAAGAACCAGTTTTTGGTTTCATTGATTTTCTCTATTGATTTCCTGTTTCAATTTCATTGTTTTCTGCTCTATTTCTTTTGTGTGTGTGATAAAGATTGGCCCTGAGCTAGCATCTGTTGCCACTCTTCCTCTTTTTGCTTGAGGAAGATTGTCCCTGAGCTAACATCTGTGCCAATCTTCCTCTATTTTGTATGTGAGACACTGCCAAAGCATGGCTTGATGAGTGATGTATTCATCACTGGCATCTGAACCCACAAACCCTGGGCCACCGAAGCAGAGCATGCAAACTTAACCACTCTACCACTGGGCCAGCCCCTAATTATTTGTTTTCTTATGCTTAGTTTGGATTTAATTTGGTCATCTTTTTCTAGTTACTAACATGAAAGCTTAGACTATTGGTTTCTGTATTAGCCTGTTTGTTCACAAGTTACCACACTTTTAATTATAGAAGCTTTATAATTTAATGATTGGGAGGGTTAAAATCCTTCAGTTTTCTTCTGTATTTTCCTTGCTATTTTTGCATGTTTGTTTTTCCATCTGAACTTTAGTATTAACTTGTCTAACTTCAATATAAAACTTACTGCTAATTGGTATTTTGGGGAGCATGAATGTATAAATTAAGGAGAACGACATTACAGTGTTGAGTCACCCCATCTGTGAACTGGGAGTGCCCTTGGATTTGTTCAAATCTACTTCTGTGTCTGCCAGGAGTGTTCTAAAATTCCCTCATCTATTATAATTGGGGTTTTCTCCACCATGATGTTCTCTAACTGGTTATATTTTGTGTGTATGAAGGCAGTTGACCCCTGTATATTAGTTTTGTATCTTGCTACCTCACTGAATCTTTTATTTTTTGAGTTAATCATTGATAGTTTAGGTTCTCCAGGTATACCAGGAATTGCCAAACTTTAAAGGGCCAGAGAATAAATATTTTAGCCTTTGCCATATGTCTCTGTTGTAGATTTTCTTTTTTTGTTAACCGTTCTTTAAAAACCTAAAAACCATTGTTAGTCTGAGAGCTGTACAAAAACAGACCTCAGGTATAGCTTTGTTGACTACTGCCTATCATCTGCAAAAATAGTTTTATTTCTTCTTTACCAATTCTTATGCCTCTGGTGATTTTTTTGTCTAACTGGCTAATACTTCTAGCACAGTGGAGGACAGTTGTGGAGACAGTGAGCATCCTTGCCTTGTCTTGATTGAGTGCAAAGGTTTCTAGTGTTTCCTATTATGTAAGATACCAGCCTGAGGACCAAAGTACATATTTTTTATCGTGTTAAACTAGCATTCATAAATTGTGATTTCTTGAGCATTTTTATAAGGAATGGGTTTTAATTTTGTGAAAGGCTTTTTTAGCATCTATAAAGATAATCATAGAATTTTTCTTCCTTGGATCTTTTAACACGTTTTATTCCACCAGGCCACAACCTATTTATTTTCTTAGTGTGATGTTGGATTTTGTTTGCTAGTATTTTATTTAGAAATTTTGCATCAATAACTCATGAATGATGTTGGTCTTTGTGTGTGCGTGTTTCTCTTGTTTTGGTACTCTGTCAGATTTAGGTATCAGTGTTATACATTATAAATGTGTAAACATCATAAATGTTATACATCATAAAAACAGTTGGTAAGTTTTCCTTAATTTTCAGTACCTTGGAACAGTTTATGGAGCGTTAGCACTATTTATTTGGCAGAAAAATTGGCCTGAATTCCTCTCTGAAACCATCTTGGCCCAGTGCTTTTTTTGTGTTGTACTTTAACTTTTTCTAGGGAAATTGGTCTTCTTAAGTATTATGTCTGTGTTCAGTATTGGTAATCTGTATTTTCCTAGAAACTATGCATTTCATCTGGGTTTTCAAATTTATTAGTATAGAGGTGTGCAAAGTAGTCACGTGATTAAAAAAATTTTCTTTTAAATTATTTTTCTTCTCTTTTGTATTTCTCTTCTCCTCTCCACCTCTTTCTTAATCAGGTTAGCTAGTAGTTGTCTCGTTAACTTAAAAAAATAACAGATTTCTAATTGTTTAAATTAGATCTGTTTTGTTCTGTCTCTATTTCATTGATTTCTGCTTTTATTTTTAATATTTCCTTCCTTGTCCTCTTTACTTTGTTGTCCTTTACTTGTCATTCTTTTATTTTACTGAAACAATGTTTATTACTCTAGATTTCCCTCTTATCACCACTTTATATGTATCCAAGTTTCTATTTTCATTTTTAAAAAATTGCCATAATTTTTCTATTTCCTCTTTCACCCATGAGCCTTTTAAATAGAAGACCTTTTGATTTCCAGCTAGAAGGCCGCTTGTTTTGTTGTTGATAATTTCAAGTTTTATTGAATTATGATCAGAGTGTTATTTGTAATATTTCAGTTTTACAGAACTGATAGTTCCTTCTTCATTGATCATTTTCTTTAATCTTTTATATCAGTTTTTTGTTCAATTGATGTGTCTTGTATTGAGAGTGGACTATTACAGTCTCTTTTCTTTTTTTTATTTTTTAGATTGGCACCTGAGCTAACAACTGTTGCCAGTCTTTTTTTTTTGTTTTTGCTTTTTTCTCCCCAAATCCCAAAACAGTACATAGTTGTATATTTTCGTTGTGAGTCCTTCTAGTTGTGGCATGTGGGACACCGCCTCAGCATGGCCTGACCAGTGGTGCCATGTCCCCGCCCAGGATCCGAACCAGTGAAACCCGGGGCTGCCAAAGTGGAGAGCGCGAGCTTAACCACTTGGCCACGGGGCCGGCCCCTACAGTCTCTTATTTGTGTGTTTATATATCTTCTTGCATCTCCTGTGGTTTTGCTTCATAAAGTAGTTGCTGTGTTATTTGCTGCACAGAATTCACAATTTTTATATCATTGTGAATTACAGCTTTTGGTATTACAAAGTGCCTTTTTACGTTTAATGCTTTTTGTCTTGAATTCTGTTTTTTCTGATATCAAAATTGTGTCCACTTGCTTGGAATGTCTTTGTTCATACCTTTCTTTTTACCCTTTCTGAATCTCTGTATGTTTCTTGAACATAGTATATGACTGGGTCTGGCTTTGCAAGCCAAGTTGTAATTTTTTTTCTTTTAGTGGCTGAGTTAGGTCTACTCAGATTTATTTTTATGACTGATAGTTTCACTCAACCTAGTCACAATATTTTTTATAACTGTGTGTTTTATTTGCTGTATTCCTTTTTCTATGATGTGTCATCTTTAATTTAAAAAAGTATTTTCTGGCATTTAAGGTGGTTTATATTTTTCTTTTACTCACCTATTATTTAACCTTCTGCTGTCTACGTGTCAGTCGCTCATGGCCTTCTTCACTGCTGCCATGAGCCTGTACAGTTTGCTGATTCTGTTTCTCCTTCCCTCTCTCTGTGTCGGTTACATGTAACATTTGCACATTAGTCGTCCGCCCTCACCGCAGCGTTTATCTGTCTTAGTAATCTATTTGGATGTAGTCAGATTCTCACTGTCAGTTCTTTGGCTGTAGTTTCTGAAGTCCTCTCTTGGTTAGATGAAGCTTATTTTCTAGATTTCTGAAGAAGGGCTCTTGGATGTTAGGTTCTTGTATGTTGAAACGACAGGGCCAAGGCTTACATAGGTTTTCTCATTGTAAATTCTACGCCTTTTCTGCTGCACCTCATTACTTACCCTTTTTGATACGCTGAATGTCCAAACTGGCAAACCTCCATTAGGTTTGCAGTGAGTGTCTTTAAAGTGATAGAAGGCATGAACTTCAGTCTGGTTTGGGTGGCAGGTTAATTACTTTTTTTTTTTTGCTTTCTTAAAGACTGTTTTAACTAGTCTTCCTTCCTATTATCTCACAGGACCAAGCCATATGTCATTCTACGTTCGAACCCACAAAGGGTCAACACTTTCTCAGTGGTCTCTCGGGAATGGCACCCCAGTGACAAGTAAAGGAGGGGACTACTTTGTATTTTATTCCCATGGACTTCAGGCCTCTGCATGGCAGTTCTGGATAGAAGTACAGGTGGGACTTTCCCAGCAATGCTGGTATCATTGATCAGGTTCCCAGTTGGTATTTGGTAAGAACCTTGGGGATCAGTATTCTGCCTTCACAGAACTAGAGAACTAACTAATTTTCTCTGCCAGGTCTTGGAAGAACAGCCTGAAGGAATGGTTACTGTCGCCATTGCTGCCCATTATCTTTCTGGGGAAGACAAGCGATCCTCCCAGCTGGATGCTCTGAGAGACAAGTTCCCAGACTGGACATTTCCCTCTGCCTGGGTGTGCACCTACGATCTCTTTGTGTTTTAATCTTGTGGATGAGCTCTAAGTACGTGCCCAGTGGGATACTCCATGTGACACTGGTTTCTCCCTATGTTTCATGGATGTTTGTAACGTCAGTCAGTGAATTTTAATGAGCATATGTTCAAAGAGCTTTGTGGGTAACACTCTTCAGGGCCAAGCACTGTAATGGTTATGCTGTGGGGTACTGATTCATGGCCTTTTTGAAACTTGAAAATGCCAGTTTTCTGGCGCTTAAGCACATGTGGGTACTGCCACTACACACGTATGTCATTTTATATGACCTCAAGGACAAGAGCCAACAAACCACTTTAATAGTTGTCCCCTTAGGATCTAGAAGGTAGTCTAAGACCATTTGTTAATGAGACATGACATTTCCAATTAAAGCCCAAGACCACTGGTTGCGTCTGTGGATGGGAGGTAGAGTATCATTCACTGGGGTGATGATTCCCCCCGGACTCATTAGAAAACAACTGAAATAAGGACTCGGGAAGAACCATGGGCCTTTTGAGGCCCTAGCCTGTGCTGACGGCTGTGCTGCCTCACGCAGCCTCTAGACTGCGCTGCATCTCTGTAGTGAAGCCCATGACCTCTGATGTGGAAACCTTGCTGAGCTGGTGACTCCTGTCCTTCTAGAAAGTGTGCACTGAGATCCATCGTTGTGATCCTCCTGAGGTTGTTTTCAATGCCTCTTTCCCTCTGAAACATCTCTGTTCTCCGCGTCACCTTATCATTTTGAGAAGAGGAGCATTTGTCCAGCTCCATTTCCCTCCGCATTTTCACAGGCTCTTTTGGTTCAGAATGGTGGCTTGCGCAAGTACACAACCTTAACTTCCTTCCTCAGAGCACTGAGTTGCCATAGTGGCTATTCTTGGCGGGGGGAGAGGCTGGGCATTTTATAAATATTTATTCTCTTTGTTTTGTAGGAGTCTTCTGTTATCCAAGGTTAATCCTTTAGGGCATCCTTTTATTGATGCACTGGGTCCTTATTTGTATCTGTTTTCCAGCCAATTGAACAGATTAGTTTCTCAGTAACTTACTGTCTGGAAGAGCTGCCTTTCCTGAGACTTGAGCGTGTGGCTTGTACTGGAATGAGACCACTATACCTACAGCTGTTGGTGTTCAGATCCTGCGCAATGACAGCCCCAGGTTAAAGGTGCTTTTCATTTTGAAGAAGATGGCTGTGTAGCTGGGAGGTTGTACTACAGCAGTGCCTCTCACGGCTTCTTGGCTCCAGCAGTGGAAAGGCTTGGTGAGATCAGTGATAAATTCCACTAGCTTTCTTTTTTCCATTAACAAATGTAAAAAGTTGGAGGAATTTTGAGTTGGGCAAGCATCAGCCAAGCAAAGCCATAGTAAAACAAACAAAGTAGCACTTGGATCCGCCTGAACAGAAGAGCATTTTAAGTGTGCGTTGCAGGAGGAAATTCTTTTTGAAGCTGCTTGTGTGATGTGTACATTGTGCTTTCTTAATCATGCTCCTCACATTGCCTGCCTAATCTGTGACTCCTTAAAAACTGACAGGGCCCATACAGACAGCAGGGCTGCAGCCATGGACACTGGAGCCATTGCTTTTCCCAGACTTAGTAGAAACTACATCTATTACTAGTCTCAAGTGCTTCAAGCGTCTCCTGCTACATGTATCTGTCAGGTGGTACATAAGGTTTGCAGTGTTTAAAGCTTGAATAGAATCACAGTTGTGGAGAAAAAGTTAGAAACATCTCAATGAATTTAAAAATACAGGCATATTTCCTGTGGTGACTCTGAAATAGAGTAGAAATTATTTATGGGGGGGGAAGCAAAATCCCAAGTGTTGAGGAAGGACATTGTATGAAAACAAATAGTTTCCTGTGATTTTTTTCCCTTGGGAAGGACACTCTTACTCTTTTTCAGAAGTAATTATGGTTCGCTTTTTGCCTTTGGCTTATTTTCCTCTGTAAACAGTTTTTTTTGTTTTGGTTTTCTTTGGCATTATGAAGCTCTGATATTGTGCAAGGTCTGTCACAAGATGCTTAATAATGCCCGAAATGGTTAAGTAATTACAACACCTATGGCTCTGTTAATAAGCACACTGTTTCAGATTAAAGAATGTTAGTTTTCTTTTTTTTTTTTTTTGGAGTATATCTAATCATTTGAATAACTCATTTCTAAAAGGGTCTTTTCAAATTCTAACAAACAAATGCATTATTTCTTACAGAACTTAAATGTAAGTAGCACAGTACTGCACATTCAGGGAGCGCGTAAAGAATTTTGATTTTGAAGAAATCTTTTCTTAAAATTTACATTGTGTCAGACCAAATGGTTGTTAGATGAAGTATTTGTTTCCACAGTTTAGCAGATGTAAATAAGCATCATAGGATTCCTAAAATGTTACCACTGAGGGGACCATAAGCCAGTTTGCTGACTCAGGAAGCTGTAGAAGAATGATCATGTCTGTCCGTTTCTTATTAGTGGTTTGTTGACTCGTTAATTGTTGCCTTACTGTTACTGAAATAAATTTTTAACATACTAAGGTAGTATCGTTAACAGAAACACAGATCTTTATTGTGTTCTCCTGTAGCCCCATATTTGAAGTTATTTCAAGTCTATAGAGCCTTTTAAAGCCTTTTTAAAAATAATTGCTGTAGAAGACCTAGATGGCTTATGTTATTTTAATGGGTGATGTGAGCAAAGAACTCAACATGGAAGTGCTAGTTTACTTCACCTGGAATCCTTTTTGCCATGGAATGAAATTGTGCCGCTCAATTTCACATAAATTAATGACCTGCTTGGTAAATGTTAAGCTTCAGCACACTTAGCAGTTTTAAATCATCTCCACTGTCAAAGAAAATCACTGAAGGGCTCATAAAGAAGGATGTCTTTATTGGTGGGTAGGGATGGGAGGGAGGGAAAAAGAAATTGTCTTTCAGTCAGAGTGACCTGCTACTCATTCTGATCTCCACACAAGGGAAGGGCACCACCACTCCCCAAAATAGAATTGTGAGTCCAAGATCTCTGTGCAAGTTATTTCATTTTCCCAGTGAATTCCCTGGAAACAGTTCAGCACAAGGTAAAGCAGCTGAACAACTTCTATTCCTAATACACTTTGCCTTCTTTTAGGGCCAATAAAGCCAGAATACGTTTATTTATGCCTCTTTATGTCTTTTTTTATTTGAAAAATATCTAAGGTAATTTTGAAGTGCGTTAATTTTTTTTTGATACTACTACTTCCTTGATTTGTAAAAATGTTGATAATTTCTCCAAGTTTGGCCCTACACCCATGAGCAATTGGGATTTATCCCAGGAATGCAAAGTTGGTTTGACACTTGAAAATAAGAGAAAAGACAACCACCATATAATCATCTCAATAGATGCTAAAAAAATTTTTGACAGAGCCTAACACCTTTGCATGATAAAAACACTCAAGAAACATAATAGAAGGGAAGTTCCTTAATTTGATAAAGGTCATCTATGAAAAACTCACAGTTACATCATAATATATTGATGAAAATCTGAAGACTTTCTCCCTACAGTCAGAAAGAGGATAAGGATGTCCACTATTGCCACTTCCAGTGAACATGGTACTGGAGGCTCTAGCCAGGGCAATTTGGCAAGAGGCATGCAGACTAGAAAGGAAGAGTTAAAACTATCTCTAGTTGCAGGCACCATGATTGCCTATACAGAGAATCCTAAGGAATCCACAAAAAAATGATTACAGGGGCCAGCCCAGTGGCATAGCAATTAAGTCCACATGCTAAGAAGCTTCAGCTGCCCAGGGTTTGCAGGTTTGGATCCTGGGTGCAGACCTAGGCACCTTTATCAAGCCATGGTGTGGGCAGGCATCCCACATATAAAAGAGAGTAAGATGAGCACAGACGTTAGCTCAGGGCCAATCTTCCTCAGCAAAAAGAGGAGGATCAGCGGTGGATGTTAGCTCAGGGCTAATCTTTGTCACCAACAAAAACCCCCAAACTATTACAATAAGTAAATTCAGCAGTGTTGTAGGAGCCAATGTCAATATACAGAAATCAGTTCTATTTCTATATAATAACAAAGAACAATCCAAAAATAAAGAATAAGCTTAACAAAAGTACAAGATTTTTACACCTGAAACTATAAAACATTGTTAAAGAAATTAAAGACATCCCATATTCATGGTTTGGAAGGCTTAATATTAAGATGGCAATATTCTCCAAATTGATCTACAGATTGAATACATTCCCTATCAAAATGCCAGCTGCCTCGTGTGTGTGTGTGGGTGTGCACATTCACATGCACAAATTGACAAGCTGATCCTAAAATTCATATGGATATGCAAGGGACCCAGAACAGCCATAACAGTTGAAAAAAAAAAACATGACTTATGAACCACACTTTCAAAACTTCCTACAAAGTAGCAACAGTAATCAAGACAACGTGGTACTGGCATTAAGGATCGACATATAGATCAATGTAGTACAACCGACAGTCCAGAAATAACACCCAGAACATTTATACTCAACTCATTTTCGACAACTCAATAGCAAAAAATCTTTTCAGTAAACGGTGCTGGGAAATGAATATCCACATACAAAAGAACAAAGTCGGACCCCTCACTTCATATCATATATAAAAATCAATTCAAATTGGATTAAAGACCTAAATGTAAGAGAGAAAACTATAAAACTCTTAGGAGTAAAACATAGGCATAAATCTTTATAATCTTTGATTAGGCAATGGTTTCTTAGATACGACACCAAAAGCACAAGCAGCCAAATGTTAAGTTGGACTTTACCAAAATGAAAAACTTTTGAATGAAAAAAAAGACCAAACCTTTTTTTTATGCTTCAAAGGACAGTTATCATGAAAGTGAAAAGATAAATGACCCAGTTATGAAATGGGCAAAAGATGTGAATAGACATTTTTCTCCAAAGATATACAAATGTCTAATAATCATGAAAAGACATCAGCCATCAGGGAAATGCAAATTTAAACCCTAATGAGTTACCACTTCATATATAACTCGGATGGCTATAACCAAAAATACAGACAATAACAAGTGTTGATGGTAGAAACTGGAAACCACCTCCACTGCGAGTGGGAATGTAAAAAGTGGCACAGGCACTTTGGAATACAGTTAGACATTTCCGCAAAAAATTAACCTGTTATCAGAAGACCCAGCATTTCCATTCCTAGAGAGAACTAAACACATATGTCCACAAAGAAACTTGTACATGAATGTTCATAGTAGCATTATTCAACATAGTCAAAAAGTGGAAACCACCCAAATGTCCCTCAACTGATGAATGGGTAAACAAATGTAATACTATGCATAAAACGGAATTAAGTACTGATATATGAAGATGAACCTTGAAAACACCATGCTAAGTGAAAGAAGCCAGACAGAAAAAGCCACATATTATGAGATTCCATTTATATGAAATGTCCAGAATAGGTAAATCCATAGAGACAGAAAGCAGATTTAGGAATATAGGAAAATAGGAAAAATTCACAATCATTTGTAATCCCACCTATTAGAGATGATGCCTAGTCTCCTCTACACTTAAATATAAAATTTTGTTTGGTGGAAATCATGGTATGCATAATTATTTTTTCAACATTTTCTGCTTCATCAACATGGACTGTCTGTTCCACTCTCCTACTGTCAGGCATCTAGGATGCTGCCAACTCTTGGTTCTCCTATTCTAAGTAATTCTGCATATAAACAAATTTTAAATAAATCGGTCTGAATTTCTAGTTATTTCATAAGGAAAACTCTAAGAGGTGGAATAATATAAGGAGAGTATTTTTGTGGCTTTTAATACATACACTTTTGCTGTTAACCTGAGATGATGAATAAACAAAAGTTCATGTAATGGTTTTATTGCCCTTTACCAAGCAAAACAATACACATTACAGTAGTAGCAGCAACTTTAATTACAAGCACAGGTTGACTCTACCCCCCAAATGATTTCTTGTTTTGGTATCAGCAAATAATTTAAATGTATCTAGTAAACTTTAAATAGTTATACTAAATATTTAAATTCACTGGTTAAAATTATGGCTTGGTTTAAACAGTTGATATGTGAACCAAACAAGGCAAAATAAAAAGGGGAAGTTTTAAAAATAAGAGTATATGACAAATTACCAAAGAGAAATTTTCTGTAAACTTGCCATTTTTTTGCCTTGGGGCCACTCATTTCTGTTAGTTGAAAAACAAGTATTTTATAGAAGAAAAGATTCATTCATGGCATTAACACCAGGAATACAGTTAACTTGTTGGTGCCCTGCTTTAAAGAGTGCAAGATGAACCCAGCAGCATATTAGTGTATTTGAAAAGATCACAGCTGTTTACAATGGTAAATAATTTTTATTGACAATATTCACATCAGACACAAAAATAATGCTAGTTCTTCTCCTAATGGACTAGGACAGGAGAAGAAATTTCAGTTTAGTTTCTTGCTGGGCTGCGTGTACTCACATGGAAACATTATTTTCTAAAGATTCAGAGAAAGGTGGTTTAAAACAAAGGTTTAAATAAAAGTAGCACCAGAAGGACCAGGTACCAATAATCACATATTCCACCCATTCAGGAGTTTTAGTATGTGAAATTATTGCACTTGTAAATGTAAAAAGTAAATGATAGTAAATTACCAATCTCAAGAATTTAAAATGGTTTGATGAATTTTGAATTAAGCAATTTCAAAATATTTTTGAGTTTCCCCTCAAAGGAAACCTGGCTAGGACAACTAAATCTAGCCATTTACTTTAAAAAGCTAGGATAGAGGACCAAGCTTTATTTCTAAACTGTAATTGCACTAGGGGGAGAGAGGCTGTTTTACATAGTGGTACGAATTTGGTCCACATCAAATACGTTGTCATTATAAAAATAAACAAGTTTGTTTTTGTAAAAAATAACATTGCATTCCTTTGTTCAAATTGCACAGTACAAACAAGCTATCTAAATTAATACTGTTATAAGGTAATTAGAAGTACATACAGTGGATATGTGTTTAGTCTGAAGCAATTGAGTATGCAGTTATGTTTTCATAATGTATGAAAACTAAAATTTGTCATATCTAGAAATACATAAAATATTTAAAAAGTTCCAATGAAGAATGCATTTGTTACATACTAATTTTTAGTAGCCGTGATATTGCAGGATTCAGCAGTCTATTTACATAAAAGTCCATTTTTATTCAATTTACAAAAGCAATAAATAAGAAACATTAATTTGCACAAAACCTGTTTCATTTCATGATCAGTGTGACCATTTCTCTATGACCAAGCCAAAAAACCTGTCTTCCTCCAATGAAGACTGCTCATATCTGGAAAGAGCAAGCCCTGTCTTTATTCCAAGAGTGAGTATCTATAGCCATGCAGAATCCAGCATAAAACCTTACAAATTATAATACAAGCCCTAAAAATATGAACAGTGCCTGTGAGTATATTTACACAAGAGTATTCACAAAAAGATACAGTTCTTTGATACAAAATAGTTCAGTGGTATCTAACAGCATAATTGGTAAGAACCCCTCAGACCTCTGCCCTCGCTCACCTAGCAGGACTCCAGCTTGCTACAGCGGGCACACTGACTCACAGGTCAAGAGCTCCCCTCACTTCAGGACTGCAATTTAACAGGCTAGAAAAGCCACGGAGCACGTGTTGTGCCAGGGCAGGCATCTACTCAGGAGGCCCAAGGAGGGAGTCCACGCTTGATCCAAGGGGCACGCAGGCAGCTCAAGTACCTGATGAGCTACAGCAAGCACCTTAACATTTATTTTTAAAAAGCAGTCTGGACACTTGCTGAACCAGAAAACGTGTAAGAAGCTATCAAGTAGTGAAAAGTAAGCTCATCCGGGGCAAAACATTCCCTATGTTTAAGAGCTACCATCCTTTAAATAAAACCAAAATATTCTTGTGTACATCTGTACAATATTCTTTATTACTTTCCACTGCAGCTTAAAAAATTTTTTTATGAAAGATGATTTATTTGATATCACATTTTTATGGAGTCGAGATTTCTTAGAAGAGAAAGAGTTAGTTAAAATTTACTAATACCTTACCAGAGTCTCTGAGCTAAGTTCTCTCCCTGGTTCAATCATCCACCTAGGTCACAGTGTCCTCAGTTGCACGCGGCTGATTAATACTGCCCTTGGTGATGGT